ACTCTCTACAAGCTCCCTAATAAAAGTCAATAGTATTATCTAATCAATAGTAATATAACTTTTGCTTCGGCGCCCCACGTTTTTGCTCGCTTATAGTAGAGTGATCGCTTGCATTATTGTGATGTATAGCATTTATTTTCTACTTTTTAGTTCAATCAGAAAACGTGGGTTTTTTAAAACTTTTTTAATGATTATTATTAGTATTCAAAAGTTTCAAACTTTGCGTATTATTTACCATACATTTTTTTTCTATAAAAGCCAGCATGATTCCCTCGTGGCAAAAGTTTTATTTCATTGCTGCATCAAAAATAATTACTGAAAATATGGTTAGAATTGTTGAATAAATACACAAGTAGTAGACTTTTTTTTAGTATTATAAAAGTGCGAAATGAGAAAAGCTGCAAAAAAGTAACGAAAAGTAGATCACTAAAATACTTTATCTGAGTAATTTGTAGTCTATTGTAAGCTTTAGATGTTTCCTAGTTAATTTAAAATACGCTTCTTTAATACATGAGAAATGCAGATTTCCCATAATGCCAAATTCAATATGATGAAGGATATAAAACGTTTTGTAGAGAGCTTGTAGGATTGAGAAAAAGGATTATTTTTTAACTAACAGGGTCATACATTTTTTTTTCATTAAGTCAATTTATTTTCTAAATACAAAAAAAAGTAACAAAAAAAACAAAACATTTGAAAATTCAAGAAACTCATTATGACGAAAAAAAGGAATTCTACAATTTTGTAAGCATCCTATACCCTTGATTGTGACACTAATTAAACTTCAGTATGTGCTGGGTTTAATCTTATTTTATATTTGTAGGTTGCATAAAATATATTGGTTCTCATACTGTTTTTTTTAAAAATAATTCCTAGAGTGTTGATTTTTCTAGTGAGTTTATATAATTTTTGCCTTAAGTAGTAATCTGGCAATTATCTCTTTATATAAAAAAAATGTAAAGCGTCGGAATTTTTTCGAAAATTCCCTTGACGTTTAAGGTTCTTAATTACTTTAGAAAGATCATTTTTGGACGAGCATGTTATCTAGATCGTTTCCCCCTAATAATAATTCATTGTCACGTCCAATTATCTCTCAACATTTTGTAGTTTTGTCTTTGAGCTTCTGATATACTTCTTCTCAATGTTTTATTAGAAGTATCATTCTTCATTTGTTTATGAAATTACCGTTCATGAATCGTGTCTGCCCATGTTAGGGTATTAAGTATAATTCATGCAGTAGGCGCATGCCGTTCTTTGTTCTATATGGTGAATTACCGCCAATTAAACCGCCCGTCATCATCTTTGAGTCAATGATTGTTACTGTGTCTCATGTTAGTTTGATTATTGATTATAATTATTATGTATACAGTCTAATGCCCACCTACTTCATGATAATTATGTTCAATTGCTGTGTTATTTCATTTGCCAGCGTCTTTGGAATATATAACTCACCCAGCTCAAAGCAGATTATACTTGTACATTATTATCGAGCTTGGCGTAGTAAAGGACACGTTGAATTCGTCATTTCGATACACAATTCTAAGTTTATTCCTGGCTTTCAATCATAGGGAAATTAAAATATTGAACTTAGCTATCGTCATCGTTTTGACTTTTATCAACTGCTTAAGATTTATCTTCAGGCTCAATTATTTACGATGTATTAACCGAACACATTCGTTAGTGACACTCTCATGAGTGATGGTATCATAATTATTTAAAATTTGAAATTGAATTACATGTATCAACACATTATTTTATTATTAAAAAACATTACTCATGTTATAAGTACATGCGGGGATATCGCCACCACCCCCACCCCCACAAGTCTGGTGAGCTGTGGTTCTCGCCATATGTTTACAATAGTAGAGACGGGTCGAATTAGTGACGACTATTAGGGGCAGATAATTTAGTTTTTAAACGATATGAAAATAAGGGGAGGTAACTAAGAGGAGGCTGCTTTTCACGAGGGAGGGACGGGGAGGACAATTGTCCTTAACGAGGTACTGATAGTGTTTTAAAGCAAAATATTTTCAGTCCCTGCATTGGTAGTGTCGAATTCACAAACTATGGATTACTGAAATGCAGAAATAAAAATGGGTCGGCTCGTATTAACACAAAATATGTAAGGCAGTTATGTACATTGAGCTGTAAAACATGTTACAAATAATGTAAATGCATGCCTTTTTAAACACTATTTATTGTTTTTTACTTCCAGAAATCAAGCTATGATGTTCTTCATGACTTTGTTGCTGATGTTATGTTAGAGTTTTCTAACATGAGAAATTTCGACGCTTTACATTTCTTCATGTGTCAGAGATGTTTGAAGACAATTTATTCTTCTCTAAATGCTGAAGATAAATTGAGATTTTTCACGTTGCTATTAGATCGTAACTATACAAGTAATTTCGTTTTACTTTTGGAGCTTTTATTAAAAGTTCCCAAAAAGCTCCAAAAAAACAACAACTTGGAGACAGGGGAAACATACTTTCTTTCTTTGCAAGTATATTTGTAGAATGTGTGTGTGTGTGTCTGTCTTTCTGTTTTTCTGTCTTCCTGCCTGCTTGCCTCCTGCCAGCCTGCCTCCTGCCCGCCCGGCTGTCAGTCAGTCAGTCAGTCAGTCAGTCAGTCAGTCAGTCAGTCAGTCAGTCAGTCAGTCAGTCAGTCAGTCAGTCAGTCAGTCAGTCAGTCAGTCAGTCAGTCAGTCAGTCAGTCAGTCAGTCAGTCAGTCAGTCAGTCAGTCAGTCAGTCAGTCAGTCAGTCAGTCAGTCAGTCAGTTAGTTTATCTGTCTCTCTGTCAGTCTGTGCGTCCGTCCGTCCGTCTGTCCGTCCGTCTGTCTGTCTGTCTGTCTGTCTGTCTGTCTGTCTGTCTGTCTGTCTGTCTGTCTGTCTGTCTGTCTGTCTGTCTGTCTGTCTGTCTGTCTGTCTGTCTGTCTGTCTGTCTGTCTGTCTGTCTGTCTGTCTGTCTGTCTGTCTGTCTGTCTGTCTGTCTGTCTGTCTGTCTGTCTGTCTGTCTGTCTGTCTGTCTGTCTGTCTGTCTGTCTGTCTGTCTGTCTGTCTGTCTGTCTGTCTGTCTGTCTGTCTGTCTGTCTGTCTGTCTGTCTGTCTGTCTGTCTGTCTGTCTGTCTGTCTGTCTGTCTGTCTGTCTGTCTGTCTGTCTGTCTGTCTGTCTGTCTGTCTGTCTGTCTGTCTGTCTGTCTGTCTGTCTGTCTGTCTGTCTGTCTGTCTGTCTGTCTGTCTGTCTGTCTGTCTGTCTGTCTGTCTGTCTGTCTGTCTGTCTGTCTGTCTGTCTGTCTGTCTGTCTGTCTGTCTGACTGTCTGTCTGTCTGTCTGACTGTCTGTCTGTCTGTGTTTGAATGTGTGTGTGTGTTTGTGTGTTTGTGTATGAGGGTATGAATGTCTGAGTGTTTATGTGTGTGTGCGTATTAGTGTAGTGTCAATACGGTTACCACGAATTATTTCGCATTAGTTAGATGGGCAGAATATTACATGTAAGTATTTGATTGTAGATATAACGTAAAGCTAATTTTGAACGATTTCCGGAAATTATTTATTTAGAACCTGGGCCCCAGTATATAGGATGCAGAGGCGTATCCAGGTTTTCGTTGTAGGAAAGCGAAAAGAGCAAAAAAAGGCGCAAATCTGTAACACGTTCTATATATGTGTATTATATATATATATATATATATATATATATATATATATATATATATATATATATATATATATTTATATATATATATATATATAATTACTAGCTGTATGTCACTACTTCGTTAGGATGTAAAATAAATTGAAAGTAGCACCCTGAAGAAATAAGAAAAAACACACAACACACAATGTAGGCCGACAAAACAAAAATTGTATCAATCTAAACTATATATATATATATATATATATATATATATATATATATATATATATATATATATATATATATATATAAATATATATATATATATATATATATATATATATATATATATATATATTACAACCAAAGGCAATGAACGTAACACAATCTGTTTTGTAATTGTTGTAAAAAAAAATTCTTACATAATAATTCCTGGGAAGTTATTTAAGACAAGTGAAATATGGCAAATAGGGTTCAACTTCATTCACCGACCGTTCACTTTAGGTCAATTATCCAACCCAGTGTATACCTAGGTGTGACATTAATGTTGCTCTACACAATTGTGGAGGTGAGGTGTGTGTGTGGGGGGGGGGAGATAACCAACTCAGAGTGAACATAGCGTCAGTTTTTAGATGACTGTTCTAAATATACATATATATTACACCAATATATATTACACAAATATATATATATTACAGAAATAAGTAGCAGTTGTATTATATTGTGATTTACATAGATGTGCCGCCCAAAATATTTTTTAACAAATATCATTGTTTAAAACTTTGAGTTTAAAAAGTTTCCAAAAAGGCGCCACTTTGATGAAAATGGCCAGATGGGGAGCGGCCGCTCCCCCTGCTCCCCCCCCTGCGTACGCTACTGATAGGATGTTCCGAATTCTACTCTCATTACGGAAAAAAAATCAGCTTTGTGTAGTGCTGACGACAACATTTTATTTTCCCCAAATCGTTCACATAGATGAACTTTACTTTATATGCCTATATGTTTCCTGCACTGATGGGAACTTGATGATGAAAATTGACATGTTATCGTTACAGATATTACGGCTAGATGCTTAAAAGATGAAAATCTTCTTGATACAACAGCACCAGGTTTTAGTCTTTCTTTAAGTCGTGATATGTTGTATCTGTTGATAAGCGGTAGTCATCATAGTACAGAGTTTGGTTTGGTAAATATTGCACGATCGTGTTTTTCTATTGGTCAAGTTAAAATTATTAAAGCTTTTAAATTAAAAGAAACTGGTCATATTATTGTTACCTAAATATTAATATTTTAGATGTTATATAGATCTATAATTTTAAAATAAAATAATCACATTGTATGAAGTAATTTTTTTAAATTTCTAGCGTCTAGCTGAGTTGGACGTTATAAAGATATGTACAGATTTCCTCATCACTCACAAAGACGAACAGGTAAAAGTGTACACACTTCTTGTGTAATAGCCTCGTTAAGTTTCATACAACCAATACACGTCTCTAAGCGAACTACATTTGTACTACTTATGAAATCTACACTAGAGAATGGGTCTAATTTTCTCCTAATACATATATCTAATATTGCTCATTGATTATCACCCTCTCCTAGTTTAGCAAAGTCAAAAATCTAGTGAGAGGAAGTTTTTTATCCTAGATATTTAGCAGTGTGTTTAATTTGTACATAAAACAAATCACCTGCCTTATGTAATATCGCATTGATTTTTTTTTAGTGCATGCCAATTTCTATTAATGTCAACTCAAAGGACACGCGCTGTGATAAATGGTATCATACATCTAAATTAAATAACATATTTTGTTATTCGCATTTTCAAAATCTGAAATTTGACTTTACTAACATCACTTAAAATGGAATAGAGAAGAAACAATGCATACTAAGCAAAGTTGTTCTCAGTCAGGAATTCTTCAATACTAAAACTTCATTTTGCGACCAGTCATTCGGAACACACCAAAAACTATATGAAGTACTTTCGAAGACGTGAAGCTAGTCGCAAACGTCAGAGACTTAATCGAACAGGATATTTTCACCAAGGAAGCACAACATTAGTGCAAGCATCATTTAAAGTCGCGATAGAAATTGCCAATCAAAAAAAAAATAAATAAATAAAAATCACCAAACCATGCATGTTGAAGATGGTGAAAACAATTCTTAGGGATTCGGGTGCAGTAAAGATGCAACAAATATCTCTGTTTTATAATACTATTTAGCTGCGTATATGTCCGTAGATGTAATAGAACACATTTTGAATTACATCAAGCATTCACTATTGTTTGATTTTCAAGTTGATGAGTCAACAGACGTGAGTTCGTGTTCGCAGTGCTTTGTCTATGTAAAATATATTCATTCAGATGATAGCAAAGAAGAGTTGCTATTTTGTAAAGATGGCATGGAGAAAATAAATTTAACAGTGTCCACTTCCAAGGAAAATTTTGTCCGCCCTTTCACCAAAAATTTTAGGTGCCCCCCCCCCCGCCGTATAAAAAAATTGAGAAGAAACACTGGGAGAGGAGAGAGTATCATACATAACCTTAATCTAAATCTTCTGGGAAAATGAACGAATTGAAAATATTAATTTAGTGCTTATTAATTGTCTTACTAATTTCGACTTTTTAATTCTATGGGGGTCGCGGATCACTTCCTTTTTATAAAAGGGAGTCCCCACTCGAAAAAGTTTGGGAACCACTACTGTAGACTGTCGCATTTCATTGTCTGAATAACGGTCTTAAAATGTAAGATGCTAACATAACTGAGAATGGAAATGCAAATCACACCGTTAAAAGACGTCTCCATTGATGGTTCGTGAGACGCATACAGTGTAAGGGGAGCGAAGATAGCAAAAAAGGAGCCGAAATTTTAATGCGTTCTATATACGTTTATATATATATATATATATATATATATATATATATATATATATATATATATATATATATATATATATATATATATATATATATATATATATATATATATATATATATATATATATATATATATATATAAATATATATATATATATATATATATATATATATATATATAAAGAGCGCGCAGTCTATGTTTGGCATCTACGTACAATGTACTTATAAAATTTAATAATATAATTATGTATATTCTAAAATTTGGAATGCACAGGACACGTTAAAATGCAGCTATTTTTTTTATTGTTCATTCAGTTTTACAAAACGGTCTTCATCTCTCTCTCTCTCTCTCTCTCTGTATATATATATATATATATATATATATATATATATATATATATATATATATATATATATATATATATATATATATATATATATATATATTCTTATGAATATAAAGCAATATATGTGTGTCTGCTTGTGAGTGTCTGTCTGTCTTTTATGCACTACTACACATTATATCAGTTCGCCATGAAACTTTCGGAAGTTGTTGTGAATACTCACTTCGGGCATTCGTCGCATTCGGGCAAGTGTCCATTCGGGAAATCGGCCTTCGGGCAAACGGCATACATATGCATATTTACATATACATATTTACATATATACATACTCCTGGAAATTTGAAATATCTAAATCGCAGACACCTATCCAGGAGTATTCTCAACAATTTCTGAAAGTTTCATGTTGATTGTATGAAATGTGTAGTAATGTATAAAAGACAGAAAACACAAAAAGACAGAAAACACAAACAAACATACATTGCTTTATATAAATAAATAAATAAATAAATAAATAAATATATATATATATATATATATATATATATATATATATATATATATATATATATATATATATATCTTATGTACAGCCTATATATATTTGGGTTCTGATTATGGAAAAACTTAGCATAATTTTAGGAAAAAAATGTACAACATAAAATGATGTCGTGAAAGACTCTCTTTTTTAGAGATGCGCAGCTTATTATTTGTTCCCAATTATAATACTCATATTAACTAGACAAAGATGACCATTAAACGAAGACACACTTCAACCACCGTGCAAAATATTAGCAACATAATGAATAACTATTTAAAATTGCAGAAATCCCAGTCTAAATGGATCATAATTCAAGTTTTTTCTATTTTACATAACATAGCCAGAATGAAGGAAGTGATGAGCTATTTCACATTAAATAATACATTCAAAGTAAGTACAAAGTAAGTATAGTTTACAACAAAGGTTACATGTGTGTGAAAATAATTAATAACTGTAATACTTTAATTACATGTCAGTTTACTGTAAAACATATAAGGCGCCACGCTTGTTTGACGATTTTACCTCCCGTCCCACTGTCACGCATGATCACAAAAAGAAAAAAAATATCTTTCCGCTTACCCTCCCTAATATCACACATCGTTATTAAAAGCAAGACCCCACAATTTAAAAAGCGCGTCATATCTCAGACAACATGGATTTGTTGTTTTAAAACACCAATTTTAGGATGTGTTTGACCGAACTATCCGTTCAATTGCTGAGTTACAAAAACTGGTGAACTCTACTTTACCTGTTAAAAAGGCTACTTTATCATTCACTAATAAAAGAAGTCACACCTCAACTTACATGTTTTTGACTTCAAAAAACACCGGTTTCTTTCTATAATATTTTCTGACCTCGAACCTCATGAATAGTAATTAAATAAATAGTTAAAGCTAACTTCATCAGAATAATAATGTATTAGATCAAATCGCTTGTGTTGTAATTTCACACAACACTTTTTTCTATGAGGGAAAATTAAAACCGATAAAAAAATTAACATTGAAATAACCCTTACCGTCTATATGATTACTATTACATCACCACAGCTACATACATACGTTAAAAGTGAAAATAAAGAGTTATTTTAAATTTTGCCAGCGAAATAAAAAATTCCGTGAATATTATTTTGATTTATATCCTAGTTTAGCCAATTCTATCTATAATAATAGTTTCGCTATCTGTCTATGTATCTATGTATCTATCTATCTATCTATCTATCTGACAAGAACGCTCTAGAGAAAACACAACCAAATAAAAAACTTTAACAGTAAAGCGGAAGCGAAATATGACGTCATATTCAGCAAATAGTAGAAAAAAGTCGACAGCCGGGAGAGTGCACAAAATAATATGACGTCATTCATTCTCGAGTAAACATTGAATTAAAAAGCCAATTTTGTCTAATCTAAGTGGTTTGCGTGAAGAGTTTCTTTCATACAATTCTTCGATAGGAGCGAAGCCCCACCCTCAGGAAAGAATGTCTAAGCCGCCCCCCCCCCGCCCCCTAACTAAAAAGAAATGTTGTCATCGATACTCTATAATAAAATTACCGCCTAATTAATGTGTCTTAGCTAAAAAGTGGTTTGCGTGCAGAGTTTCTTTCATGCAATTTTTCGGGTAGTAGCTAAGCGCGACACCAGTGCCGCCGGAGGGGGGAACTTTTTCTAATCTAAAAAGTGTTTAGCGTGCAGTTTATCTTTCATGCATCTCTTCCGGTAGGGGCGAAGCTGGTAAAAGTATATAATTATATTTCGTTGAATGGGACGGTAGACATGTTTTGGGGGGTGTGGGGGGGGGGAGGGCGGTAGAGTCCCCCCTCCCAAGTAGAGTTGCCTGAAAGAAACTCTAAATGCGACTTTTGTCATGAATGAGATTAAGTGCACAGTTTAGGGATATGCCTATGACTATATTTTGTATAAATTAATGTAGTGATTCTGGATAAAAATCCGTTTTCACTGTCATTTTTCGTTTCCGGTTAAATTAAATTGAGGTGGTGACTTTGTTTTGGTTTTAGTTTAGAGAAAATAGACAGCACTATCAACCTAGCGCCTGTTGTATCCTTCCTCAACGGGCCATTTTTTCTCGTTAGTAAATAAGGCGTGAACGATTGCGCCAAAACTTGTAAAACGCTACGGAGGAGAGCAATAGAGCCCCCACCATCCACACCCAAATATATCAACAGTTCCCTTCAACTAAATGCAATGTATATTATAAAAAATATAACCTTTTAGAAGTGTTCGACGCAGAAAATTTAGTCCACCACCAATTACGAAAATTTCAAACACCCCCTAAGGGGGTGGAGAGTGGGAAGTCTGAAAGAAACAGTGGTCACATTTGTTGATCATACAGAGTAAGGGTTTACCCTACTATTATAATATAGACACGTTTCCTAGTTTTCGCCGCTGAACCTCAAGTAAGAAGACAATGTTTCTTTTAGACTTTTTCGCCGGGTGGGTTGGGGGACTTACACTGTTAGTATATATTTTCTATATAAATTGTATTTCGTTCAATGGGGGGGGGGGGAGGGGCTCGGCTTCTTACCCACAGAGATGCCTGAAAGAAACTCTGCACGCAAACCCTTTTTAAGTTTAGAGAAATAAATAAGATGGTAATGTTAGTGTCTTTATTATCAAGTATTGATGATGTCATTATTATTGTGTTGTTTTTTAGCAATGGCTTTTTAATTCTATACTCAAGAATCAATGATGCCATATTATTCTGTTTACTTTTCCAGCTTAAGAATATATCCTATATTTTCATGTGACGTCGCGTATATTTTTCCATTTGACTGTGAAAGTTTTTATTTTGCTTTTGTTTTCAATATAGTGTACCCAACCGACAGTGAGAGTGACAGAATAGTGTAACTATTATTAAAAAAACGAGATAAATGGCCCGTTGACGGAGAGATACAACGTGCGCTAGGTTCATATTGTTGTCTTTTTTCTAAACCAAAGCCATAATCAAAATCACCACCGCAACTTCCAGATTAACTGGAAACAAACAATGACATTTTTATAAAAATCGGCACACAGTTACTGCACATTCATATTAAATATAGTCGTGGACATACCCTAAAACCTTGAACATTAGTTCAAACTTGACAAAATTCGCATTGAGAGTTTCTTTCAGGTTATTCTTCGGGAGATCGAGGGTTTGTCGTTCTATAACGACTTATAATTTATATAGAAATATATACTTTTACTAGTGTCCTACACCTACCCGGAAAATATAAACCAACCCTCCTCCGAAAATTTCAAGTACATTCTTACCACCGGGGAGGAAAATGTGTGAAAGAAGCACAGGTCACATTTGTAGACTAAAGACTAGAGCCTATTTATATAAAATATAGACGTTTATTACTTTTGGCCGATAAACCTCATTCACGCAGTGTTTCTTTCAGACGTTTTTCCTAGGGTGGGGCACTTCAATCAATAAAATACTCAGGTGCAGGGGGCGGGGCTTCACCCCTACCCGAAGAGATGCATAAAAGAAACTCTTCAAGCAAAACAATTTTAAGATTAGGTACATTAATTAGGCTGTAATATCAGTGTTTTATTATACAGTATCGATGACGTCATTTCTTTTGAAGGTGGAGGGGCGGCTTTGACGTTCTTACGGAGGGATGGGGGTTGGGCTTCGCCCCTACCCGAAGAGATGCATGAAATAAACTCTGCACGCAAACCACATTTCAAGATTAGACAAAATTGGCTTTCAATGTTTACTCGAGAATCAATGATGTCATATTATTGTGTGTTCTCTCTCGGCTTTAGACTATATCCCACTATATGTTCATTGTGACGTCACGTTTCGTTTTTCGTATTAATATGAATGTTTTTACTCTGCTTCTGTTTTCTCTATAAATAAAAGCGTTCCCGACAAATACATACATAGATATATTCATAAATAGATACATCGATAGATACATACACAGAATTACAGCGAAACTATTATTATAGACGAGATAAATGACCCGTTGAGGAACGATACAACGGGCACTAGGTTGATAGTGATGTCTCTATTCTCTGAACCAAAATCAAAATCACCACCTTCGCTATAAATTGAACCGGAAACGAAAACATTAAAACAGATTTTTATACAGAATCGGCACTTTAATAGGATGTGAGCTCAATCTACACTTAGCTATCGCACATTAGCAATACTCCTAAATCATGCACTTAATCTCAATCATGACAAAAGTCGCATTTAGAGTATTTTCAGGCGACTGAGGGGCTCCAACCCCCCCCTCCCATCCCCAACCACCCACCGCGAGGCACGTCCCTTTCAACGAAATAAAACTTAAATAGAAAATGTATACTTTTATTAGAGTCCGACCCCTCGCAGAAAATTTAATCTAGCCCCACCCCGAAATATTTTAAGTACATCCCCCACCCCTTCGGGAAGTAAAAATTCTGAAAGAAACACTTGTCGCATTTGTAAACTATACAGACAAAAAGTAAAGCCAACTATAGACCAAATATAGACCGTTTCAAACGTTTCACGCAGTGTTTCTTTCAGCCTTTTTTCCGGGGGTGGGGCACTTGAATTTAGCGGGGAAGGCCGACACTGGTAAAAGCATATATTTTCTATATAAATTATATTTCGCTGTTTAAAGTTTATGTTTTAGTATTTTATTTTGATAAATAACTTAACGTTTTAAGTGATGTCACTTTATATATTTGTATTTTTATGTAAACCTATTTTTAATTTGGCCTTAAAAATTAAGTGACGTCACTAAGCATGTGCAAGTTTAATGTTTTTGATTAAAAAAAAGTGTTCTGAACTTTTATGATTAAATGAGTGTTTTTACAAGGAGTATATCAATAAATTAATTAACTTCTTTAAAGAAATATGTGTTTAACAGTTTTGGAAAAAATAACATTATTCTCTATATAAATACGTAATCGAGAGTTATACAAGTTATTCAAGCTTTCAAGTAACCAAACAGACAAACAAAAACACAAAATAAATGTAACACCTATGGTTACCAGCCAAGGGGGCATAAGAATGAAGTTTTAATTCATTGTGTTGCGGCCCCTGTGGGATCGCAACCCTGTTGATGCAGTTATTTTGCATGCTCTTCTGTGAGCGATTTTACCTGTGTCCCATGTCATGTTGATATTATCATTGATGTAACCTTTTGTTTACATTTGTTTTAGGGCTATAGGTTTTGTTTCATTTCGTTATTCATCTCTAATTGTAGCATACTACTGTTGCTCTACATCGCCGTCATGGCTCGATGTACTGTTGAATAAAGCTAATTAGTGGACAACAGCATCGCTTCAATCAGTCCTAAATCTTAGGGTCAGACCGTTTAACCACAACACCTCAGTGGGTAAAAGCAATCCACACTGAGTGAGGGTTACATACAAATACACAAACTTGTAAACAACTTCAATGTTAGACTATACTAGACTACCCGTTATCTAGTTAGATAACTGTGGGTTATCTAACGTCACTATTCAGTCAAAGTTAAGCCATTGTTCTAAAACTTTAAAATTAATGTTGTTAATCTACCTATGAATAAATCAATAAATTAATTAACGTCTTTAAATAAATGTCTGATTAGCAGTCTGTCTGCAAACAAAAATTGATTTCTACCTACATACTATTTTACAGCCCCCCATATAGAGCATTTTCCTTACAGCACCAAATCAGACAAACAAAAAAAAAACAAATAAATATTTAAACATGTAAACAAACTTGAGTTTTAGTAGTATACTTGACTACCCGTCATCCGTTGGATAACTGTGGGTTTCGGGGGTCATCCATAAAACACATCACGTCTGTCACTTGTCGTCACAAAAAACCAGACCCCAAATTCAAAAGATGTTTTTTATCTTTTAAAAACACCGAAAACACCGATTTCGGACTATTCCTTTATATACTGACGTCACAGGTGACCGCCTCAACTCTACTTCAACTGCCCAGTGTCGCGCCAAGTCTCAGACAACATGTTTTTATCGTTAAAAAAACCGATTCGAGCCGAGCATGTCTCTAACCACACTATCCCTTCATATGCTTAGTTCAAAGAAACAGATTAACTCTAATTCACCTGCCCTGTATCCCGCCAAGTTCAGATAGGCGACTTTATTATTCACTTCTAAAAAATAAAATAAAAATTGAAAAAAAAAAATAGTATCATTGACGTATTGGTCTAGAACCTGTGCCACCCCCATGCAAGCCAATTACACTAACAACTTAGCTATTTAACTCGTGACGTCACAGATGTTTGTTTATACTATACTTTAATACTTTAAGTCTCCTTATGCAACTTGATTTACGCGCATAGATCTAGATCTAATTCTAGTAGTAGTAACTTTCAAGATAAATTAATCTTAAATTAGTGAAACCAAGCTTTATATAAAATAATGAAGGTCTGAAATTATCTAGATCTAGATTGAATTATCTAGAACTAGATTATACGACTCGTTTGCTTAAGTCTTAAGTCTATGATTTGCGTAACTCTTGCTAGATCTAGATCTAGATATTCTAGATCTGGAATCTAGATCTTATCATCAGACCTATTCTAGCTAGATTAATCTAGACCTAGATAGATAAATCACAAAGATTTATATCAAGTATTTAAGGACTAAAAAATGTATTATGATTATAAAATGGATTATATTTTTATCTAATTAATCTTTGGTATGTATCTAATTAATCTTTTGTTTGACCTAGATTCTAGATCTAGATCTATAAATAGCTTGCTTGGCCACATGATATTTTTAGATCTATAAATAACTTTCTCAAAAAGCGAGTAATCCTACTATATGTAGCTCTAGAACCTAGATAGATAAATCCGATGTATTCTCGAATTAGATGTTCATTAAAGCTAAACAAAGATTTATATAAAATAAGGCCTGAAATAGATTCTAGATGTAGAATTTGCATTAAGTCTAGATCTAGAATTTACGTAAAATCTAGTGACCTAGAGCTAGATCTAAAATCTAGATTTTATAACATGTTCTACCTTCGACAGCTGATCTGTAGATCTAGAGAAATTTATTGTAAAACTAAATGAAAAAGACAGTTGAAAATTGATTTTAAGTGTTGGAACGTAATAAATACACCAAACGGACGTATTGTTAAAGTTATAGCCGACAGAAAATTAGCTTTAGAACGCGTTCAACTTTGGAATGGGAACACAATCTTCTTCGATATACGCCGCCATTTTATTGTACTAAAAATTAAACAAAAAAATGTGACGTCACTGTTCCGTCGAGTCTAGTCGTTTTTCTAATCTTTTAAAATTAATGTGGTTAATCTACCTATGAATAAATCAATAAATTAATCAACATCTTTAAATTTTGTGATTGACTGTCTGAAAACAAAAATTGTTCTCTGCCTACATACTATTTTACAGCTCTCCACATTAATAATTTTTGATAAATTCCTGTAAGTTTCAAGTGAAACCACGATAGGTCTCCGTGAAAGTGAAGTATTTGTTCGGAACTTTTATAATTAAAGGGGTGAATGAATATATCAATACATTACTTAAAGTCTTTAAATAAATGTTTGTATAACATTTTTGGGAAAACAATTTTTATCTAGATGCATTTTATGGCGTCCACACAGCTCTTATTATTACTTGAACATATAAGTGAAGTAAAAGTCAATGCGTATACAACTGACTACAATATTACTTTCTTTGAATTCCGCTTGATCTTCTATTTCAAAATAGATATCCATACTTATTTATTAACAGTATTATTATTATTTTTTTTAATAACTTTGTGTAATACAATTAATATTTTTCTATATAAATACCTATACTTTATGGGTTCCAATATGTTACCGTGGCATGACACAATCTAATATACATGTTTTTTTCCCTAGGCTATTAAAAACATGGAAATCAAATGTGAAGACACATTGACTGTTGCAACAGTTTTGCTGTTGGATTTAGCATATGATTCAACCACATATACAGACGCAATAAGTAAAAATTTTAAACGTTATTTAAAATTGTTAATTATTAGGGAAGTTACAGGTTCTTTAAGGAATTATTAAGATACTAGTTTAATGACTATTGTGTTTTATTTTCGTAATCAAAAGCATCACAGTAATGTAAAAATTATTGTTTATAAAATACTTTATTTAGAGACATAACGAAACCATTCTATAGGACAAGTAGACTAGCATTTTTCAGCCGATTGTTTCTACCAAATAATTTAATATGTGATAAGTTCAGTAGGTACTTACTTATATATGAAGACTAGTGTCACAGGCCACGCTTAGCTTTCATATAATTTTCTTACATGTTATAGTAGAGTTACCGTTTTTGTTAGATAACAGTTTTTTCATATAAGACAAAAATGATATAAAGTCCATCGAACAGGGTTGTGCTGCATTTGAATCACGATTTTCAGCACTTGCAGGCATATGCCTATTGATTAAATAAAGCGCAGACTTTATGTAAGCCCTAGGACTATAAATTATCGTGTGTCAGTACATTTGTAATCATAACCTTAATCAATAATAAAAAAAAATAAACAAATCATAATTAGTTAACTAATCAAATATTTGTAAAACAAGACACAAAAACTTGACTAGAATCTTAAACAAAAACTTACAATACATAGATCAAATAACAAACGAATGTACTAAATATTCAATCATATTAAAATAATGTTTTTATCATAGTTGTAAAGAATTAATTTAAAATGTGAGCACTCTAGCTTTTCATAACAAAACTTGATGGCGACTTCCCAAAAATCAGTAATTTCTAAGCCGCCATACTTGCGTAACGTTCATTGCTACACTTAGTCCATGGTATTAAAAAAAAAACTTAAGTATAATAAAAAAGAAAATTTCTACTCTACTAGCATCAAAAAAGAGAATTAGTCAACATACGTTTTTAAACGCCTCAAGCAACCTCCAGTGACTCCACAAAGCTTGTAGACGAATTATACTCGCTTCACACATCATGCACATGAAATAACCTTTCATCTTCTTCTTCTTTTTCTTCTTCATTCTTAATTATTAGTGTTGAAGGGGATCGAGATTTATCTGCCAGTGGGTTAGAACTCGAGACTTTGTTCGAATTTATCAACCTTGAGCTTTTTGCCTACTCGACCACGCCTCCAACACAATTAAGCGTTACGTGTCAACTGGTTATGCGCCATTGAGGCCATTGACTCCGATTTCAGCCTGCTTTTCTTTTTGGATTTGCTTCCATAGCCTTTGTCCAACCAAGAACAAGCTACATGACAGCAGTTGTTTAATTTTGGAGTTGTCTCTCCTAGAAGAGTGGCTGTCCCCAGCTAACGAGCCTCATCTGCCCGAGGGTTCGAACTCGAGACTTTTCGGTTTAGCAGCCATGAGCTTTACCGACTCGACCACGCCGACCCCCAAATAACCTTTAAAAATTGATAACTAAAGACACAATACAAAACATTACTCTGATCACTTAAAGAAGGCTTAAAATTTGTCATAATAAAATATCACCAAAATTCATTCACAAATCACTACTAAACAAACTAAAAACATAAAATCATTATACAAAAATAATAAGTAGAAAAATTGCAGCCGTCTACCCGATACGAAAAGGAACATTTTTTTTTAATCATCGTGAAAACAATATATTTTTAAGAAGTTAGGTATGAGCTGGTGTTAAACAAAAAGGACGCTAACTAAAATATTTCAAAAAGTAGGCATCTATGGTTTTGTCTGTGTGTTCTTCAAATGTATATCAAGTTTTATTTGTTAAAATAATATAGTTTTAGTGGCTCTTAACCGATTTTGGAGGTATCGATCACCAATAGCTTTATATGCGAAAAATATAAAAAAGCAAATTATGATTTTCTATTAAGGTGTGTTGTTTAACCACCCCCGAAATTCTGAGACTGGCTCACCAAAACATTGTGGTTCAATAGAACTTGGGTTAAGAACAGTTGCTCACAATATTACTTTTGACTTTAATATAATTGACGTAACATATTTTTGCATCCATTAAAGGTATTCTAAACGATTATGCAAAACAAATGATTGGCGTCAACGTAAAAGAAATAAACGGCACAGATTTCCAAAGATTCAAGAAGTAAGTACAATTTTTAACGTCAAAAACATTTGTTTCGACATAAAATCGCATTTCTATAGACATATTTTTAAAAACATGTTTAATAAAGAAACATATAATATGCATAAATATGCATATTTACGAATATTTCAACGGATTTAACAATACAAATAATATACACACATACATTAATTTGATTGCTTGTAAAAACGCCATTTAAGAAAAGTTTGAATTTATAAACGAATATATCAAATCTCATCCAGAGAATATTCAAACTTCTGGCCTTTTCTATTACAATGTTTAAAATAGCTAGATAAGATATGTCTTAATGTTCATAGGATTTGTCGATCAATGAAATGGAAGGGCGGATGTTTATGTTTTTTTTAGATTAAAAAAATGCTACCAAAAATAATTACCCATGACGTAATTCTTGACTTACTTGATTAAAATCTATTTACACCTTTTGGAGCATAGTGCCTCAACCTCATTTTGTCAAGTGCTTCTTTCTTCTACTTCTGCGTACTGATTTAGTTTATGATGAAGTATTTAAGCAACAAGTCCAACTTCGAGAATGAACAGGACTTTGGTATCCAGAACCGGTGGTGCCCCATATAGTTTTTCCTTGAGTGGGGTGTATAGATGCCAGAATTTGGATCGTGCCTGGCTATGTAAGGAACAGTCCCGAAGGGCGTGCTCTGTATTCTCGGGGGCCATGCCTTATGGGCATGTTTCACCAGACTCAACTTTCAGTTTTTATACATGAGCTGTTTTAGTCATTCCGTTGGGCAAGTATTGTCCTTCCACATAAAATTCACTCCCAATGCAATATAAATACAATATACCCGAAGTACAGTCTGTTACACAATCACACGTTGTATCGTTTTTACGTTTTATATACTTCTTGTAAATATATGGTTTTAACATTACAGGTCAATAAGATGTTATGCTACGATTACAGTTCTTAAACAAAACAAACAGGTAGGTCATTCTTTCTTTTCCTATCACTAAAATACAAGACAGCTTCTGTTATATGTTAGTTATCAGCATACGTATCAAGTACGCTGTATGATTACATTTTCGGGAATGGGTAAATCACACTTTAAAATGTGCATATTTGCAGCAGATAATTGTTCTAGCACATCAGAATCTCCGTAAGAAGATCATGGGGATTTTCAGCTGTTTCTTGAAAGCACTTGATAGGGTTATCATAAATCTATCATTCATTGCTTTTAAAATCTGGTTATTATTAAAATTAAATATTTGGATTTTTTTACTTATTTAGACGTGGTACAAAAACAATTGAAAACTGATATTGAAAACGAAATTCCTTTGAATACAATCATTTTATTCGAACTGATATTATCAAAATAGCCATTCTATTAGAAACTGTACATAAATATATGCTGTCGACACTCATCTAGAATCAATGATTTATATTTAAAATTATTAATTGTCGCATACATTTTCTTACCGTATTTAGTAATTTTAAATATCGTTTTGATTCAAATACAATTATAAAATTGCTACACATGCGTTAACATATATATATATATATATATATATATATATATATATATATATCAAAAAATTATATATGTATATATATATGTATATATATATATATATATATATATATATATATATATATATATATATATATATATATATATATATATATATAAATATAAATATATATATATATATATATATATATATATATATATATATATATATATATATATATATATATATATATATATATATATATATATGTATATATATATATATATATATACCCCAAAATTATATATATATATATATATTTTTATATTATATATTATATATATATGTATATGTATGTATATATATTATACACATATATATATATATTATATATATATATATATATATATATATATATATATATATATATAATTAGACTCTAAATGTTTAATTAAACTATTTAACCTATTTCATGATAGGCTGAAAATCATTTCTGGTCTGAAATAATCCAGTTTTAAAATATCTCATTTATGCCCGCCGCAAATTATGAATTTTAAAGTGAGAGAAAACAAGACTTACAAACTATATTAAAAATCAAAACTTCTCGCGTTTTACAATGTCGCGTTAAGCGCTAGATCACTAAATCAACATTAAATTAGATAAACACTAAAAGATTTAGAGTAAATACAATAATTATCTCATTATATTAACAGATGCGTGGGTAGGGGAGGGCGGACGCCACAAGCAGCGACCCAAACGGGGGTGCCAAAAGTGGTAGATTATAATGTAAAAAGCTCATTTCTGAATAGCATACAGTCGAATCAAAGAATATAGACTGCTACTTAGCATTACAGATTATTTTAATTGTTTTCTACATCACCTGTGTAGCACCAAAAAGAAAAAGACAAATTAAATGGTAAAAAGCGCCCCGAACTTTCTAAATAAGGGAGGTTGGAGGGGTCGGCGTGGTCGAGTAGGTAAAGCTCATGGTTGCTAAGCCGAAAAGTCTTGCGTTCGAACCCTCGGGCAGATGAGGCTCGTTAGCTGGGGACAGCCACTCTTCTAGGAGAGACAACTCCAAAATTTAACAACTGCTGCCTTGTAGTTTGTTCTTGGTTGGACAAAGGCTATGGAAGCAAATCCAAAAAGAAAAGCAGGCTGAAATCGGAGTCAATGGCCTCAATGGCGCATAACCAGCTGACACGTAACGCTTAATTGTGTTGGAGGCGTGGTCGAGTCGGCAAAAAGCCCATGGTTGATAAATTCGAACAAAGTCTCGAGTTCAAACCCACTGGCAGATAAATCTCGATCCCCTTCAACACTAATAATTAAGAACGAAGAAGAAGAAAGAAGAAGAAGGGAGGTTGGAGAGGGGGGGGGGGCATTTTCACCAACTGGTATAACTAAATATAGGCCTAATCTGAAAAGGGGTGGAGAATGGATAGTTCGTCCTGGACACCAATATAGATCGCTACGCTTTTAAAAATTACCCTTTAGTTTACATAATATAATCAAAGTTATTAATTATTAGGTACTTTTTAATAATTGCGATTACCCATGTAATCGCTCCTCTATGGATAGCGCCCCAGGCGACCGCCTAATTCGCCTTAAATGGTAGCGCCGGCCCTGCGTATGTATCGGTGCAATTGAATCAACACTACTAATGTTTAGCTCATATGTTTAATTTTTTTTTTACTGATAACGGTTGGGAAAACTTAAAATTTGCGTTACAAATGACACTAGGCTGTTTTTTCTTAAACAAAAATGACAAATTTGAAATCATAAAAATGGAAAGGGGGGATTTTTTAAAACGTTGTTTGCAGTACATTGATGCAATACATGCGGTCGGATCACGGAATAATAGAAAATTGTATTCGTTTCTAAACGTATTTGAATAGGTTTTATGTATGGGTTTATATTTTGAGTATACTTTTTTTCAAATCAAATCCCTATATATAATTATCTATTGCCAGTGGTTTCGTGTAGTGTCAACACTCATGTGCTCAATTGTATAAAATAACAATGAATGACATATTTTTTAAAAAAATTACTTTGTGTAAAATTGATTAAAATAAAATGAGAGGCCTATGTAAAACGTGTTAAATTTTGTAGTTTACACATTTTGGGATACCAATATCATTACTCTGCTTAATCATGTAATTTTTTTTATATTCTCAGACACCAAGCCGTGAAGAATTACAGGACTTTGTTTCTGACGTAATGTCCGAGTTTTCAAACATGAGAATTTTTGACCCTGTACATTTCTTCATGTACCAGAGATGTTTAAAAACAATTAGCTCTGCTGTGAATGAGTGTGATCGACTGACGTTTTTCTCTTTACTATTAAAACTTAACTATACTGGTAATTTTAGACGTAAATCTAAATAACAATATTGCAAACAATGTAAATTTTTACCATCACAGAAACGATATATGATTTAGGGGTCGTCCATAAATGACTTCACACTATTAGGGGAGGGAAGGTCCGTAGTTTTGTAACGGTGTGTGATGAGGGGAAGGGAGGTGTCAGATGACGTGACGTCACACTATTGCAATTAAAAATAGCAATTTTAAATAATGAATTTTAGCCGTTATTTCGCGTTTTAGAGAACTGTATTAAAGAATTGAAATAGGAATTAATTAAAATACTCTTTGTTGATAGAGTTCAGACAAGATTTTGGACAAAAAATATAGTATTTAAAAGAAAATTCAACTGCAATTTTGAGGGGGTTGTAGGCTGAGGTATGACGTCATTTAGGGGATGGCTTTTTGCGACGATGTGTGGCGGAGAGGAGGGGGAAGTATAAATCGTCAAACCGTGTGACGTCATTTATGGATGATCCCTTAGTAGTAGTGTAATTATTCGACTGCTAAGTTGTTACACTTGTGACTGGTAGCAACTATCTCACCTTGTCTCTACTCGTATGTTATGTCGGTGACTTAGTGAGCTGCTATCTCTGGTGCAAGTGTTAGCCAATTAGCCAGTCGTTATGCTTGAATTTGTTTTGTAATCAATGTACATAAACAAACAGCAAACCCTCGTAAAGACAATTGACTTGCTTGGTTTTTATAGTTTTTTTTTTCAATGAATTAAATAATTATTCTGTCGAGTTAAAACTACTCTAAAACGCTGAGGACAGGGTATATTGTACTATACTAGCCTACAACTTCCTAACAAGTCCCATTAGATCTAATTCTGTGGCCTAATAAAATATACTGATAACATTCGTCAGCGTAAGTACTACTTTTGGGAAATCAAATCAGCTGTTACGTTGGATTTGCTAGATTTTATAATTACTACCTGTATGGACTGAGACGATTTACACGACCCTTATCACTCAAAGTAATGCTGAGTTTATGAACGTGTTCTGACATATAACATGACTATATCAATGAAGACATTGAAGGCCAAGGAAGACGTAAATAGCTGCTGCCAAAAGCAGGACTATCTTGGGTCAGAATTGTCAGAGACCGGCAAAACTAGAAACCTCTTTCTGTAGTGGAACTAAGGAACACAAGGGGAAAAATGCTAAAATTAATGATTAATGTACTTAAAATAATAAAAGTCTAGTAACGTTGAATACCAAGAAATGTTGTGTACCATATTTGTGCTATAATAAACATAAAACTTTGAATAGATAATATTATAATATTATTACAATTTAAAAATATATTCTGTCAAAAGAAAACACTTCATAAAATATTGTAATTACAGATTATGCTATCAAAAGTTTGGAAGAAAAAAATCTTCTCAATACAACAGCACCAGGATTTGAGATGTCTTTAGTTAGTGATGTGCTGATTCTGTTGTGTGTCGGTAGTGGTTGTAGTCCAGATTTTGCTCTGGTAAATACTTTAACTCTGGTTAATAAAAAATATAAATAAAAAATAATAAAAATCACGCCAATACATCTGAACAGAAAAAAATAAATACTAAGGCATTATATTTCCTTTTACTCTGTAGAAATTGGCTGAGTTGAATATAGTCAAAGTGTTTACTGATTTTCTTATTGAAAGCAAAAATTTGCAGGTAACATAACGAATCGCTTAAGGAATATATATATATATATTTATATATATTTATATACACACACACGTATATATATATATATATATATATATATATATATATATATATATATATATATATATATATATATATAGAGAGAGAGAGAGAGAGAGAGAGATAGAGAAATAGAGAATGAAGGAAATACAGAAAGAGAGAGAGATGTGTATTAGAGTTTTTGAGTAATTACTAAATATGTATTATTAAAACTTAATTAATTAGTAACTCGTATCAATGTATTTCATTTACAGAATACGCATTCTCGATTCATAACTAAACGAGTAATTGACATTCTCCTCAACATAGCCCGCAGAGAATGTGTAAAGAAATATTTTACTAGTAACAACACTGCTGAAGTAAGTCAATTTTACATGGTTACAAAATAGTAAATATGATCTACTCAGTAAATGTTTACTACTTAGCATAATTTTACCAATAATTTTATGTTTTTAAGACAAAAAAAAAGGAGTATCTATGAAACCAACTACAAAAGATTTGATAAACGATTTGTTTTTGTTAGGTAGAAGATTTAATGATACGATTCATGGATGTTAGTTAAGTTTAGAACATAGAATAAGGTTTGTGTTTAAGGGGATATGCTATGTTTTTTTCTATTTTTTACAGTTTAAGATCTAAAGCCTTTTGAATACTTTAATCATATGTGGCATATAAAAGTAAGTATTAAAAAGCAAATAAAAAGGGTCGAAAACAATTTTGGTTGTCATGGAAACCCAAAAACCTCCGCCATTATGAATTTTTTGGTACTTTTAAAAATGCTAAGGTTTTTTATTTATGCATTTATAGCAATCAAATTTAAACTGCTTATATTTCAGTATATATTAAAACTTTTGTCCTGACAACTTTTTGAAATAATTACAAGTAAGAATTTTACAAGGTCTAAAAAATCGTACCCTTTTTAGTATTCAAAAGTTTCAAAATGTGCATATGAATTACCAAGTACTTTTTTTCTATGAAAGCAATCACTATTCCCTCGTGACAAAAGTTGTATTTTCGCATCAAGAACATTTACTGAAAATATGGTTGGCATTGTTTAATAAATAAAAAAAGTAGTAGGCTTTTTAATGTTAAAACCTGTGAACTGAGAACAACAGCCAAAAGTAACGAAAACTAGGTCAGGAAAGTACCATATCTGTGTAAACTGCAAGCCGATTGTAAGCTTTGGGTGTTTCCGAGATGTAGGAAATTAAGTTTATTAAATACATGAGAAATCCAGCTTTCGAATGATGTCAAATACAATATAATGACGGGTATAAAACTTTTCACAGAGAGCTTGTAAGATTGGGAAAAATTGATTATTTTTTAATTAATAGGGTCATAAAAATCGTAATTCAAACACATAAAATTTTTTTTTTTCTCTTTAAAGTTATTATTTTCTTTATACACAAATGGACAAAGTATCCAAAAGTACAAGTAACCCATCATGACAAAAAAACAAGAAATTTTGTGATTTTTTTTCCGCACATATCCCCTTAAAGGTTTTGTGCATATATGTGTTTTTGTTAGTAGTAGGCCTATATATTTTATTGTTTATTTAAGGTGCCTCTTTATTAGTTTTAAGAATATTTACCCTGCGGAAAAAATTCGGTTATGGTCGGTTAAATAAAGAAAGTGTGTTAATAATCTTTATGAGTATTGTTGTTTTATGTTTAGATATAAATTTAAATTTTTTGTTAAGTTTAGATTTAGGATTATGATTTGATTTAGATTTTAGATAGATGCTAATACGACATAGAGTTTTAGAGAAATTGTATGTTTTTGTTTTTACAAAAAAGTTTCAATTTTAGAATAGGAAATGCTCGGTGGAGTGGAGTGGTGTAGTCGAACAGACATCTGATTAGTTCAACTTGATGAATATGCCTATTTTCATGGTTTTATAATAGAGGATAGATTAAAGATTAAAATTAAACTTAATTTTAAGTCTTGCGTGCTTTATTTTCAAGTTTAATTTTTTATTGGATTGATTTAGTTGTTGCATTTTTTTTAAGTTTGCATATTTGAGATTTAGAGATTAGAATATGTATGACTTAGTCATGATTAAACACATGTCTTCTATTTTTTGTAATTCATTATTAACATATTTAAAGGCTACTTTAAGAATAATCAGATTTAGAATAACTTTTCAATTCGCTCTCTATTTTTGTGAAAAAACTTACACGCCTTTTCGGGTTACAACAACACAAGAATTATATTCAAAATGCGTGTTACATCAATACATAACAATATCTCTTCTACATAAATGACATAAAGGTGTACACAAACAGATGATACATTGGCTACTATACAGAAGTAAAGTAGTCCTACACATTAACCGGCTAGCATTTAAATAGGGACGTGTGAATTTCGATAAAACATTTTTGCAGTTTTGGTCTAAATATCCTGGAAACAATCCAGATAGTTGAACAATATAGAAAATAATTTCTTGAGTCTTTTCAACAAATATTCATATACGTTATTATTTTCCATAACTTTAAATAATCTTAACTTATATACTCATAAGATAATTAAAATAAATAATTAATACTTATATATTATATTTTATTTATTTTTAGGCTATATTGAATATGAAATGTATGGACGATTGCACGTCGTTTTTATCAAAACTTTTGGTTCTACTATTAGAGGAGGACAATATCTTGGAAAAAGAGGAGATAAGTAATTATTTTTGTATCTAATATTATTTATATTAGTGTATTCTTAATGATTTAAAAATTCCAAAAACCGTTACTCTTATTTAAACAGTTAACTAATAAAAATATACATGTAATACATTTATTTATATTTTATCAAGTCTAAATTTTACAGACAATTTTTTCGTCGTACATTTATAAATAAACCGTTTCTAACACATCTTTAAAAAATTTAATTTACTACTCAAACACCATTTCGTAACATTGTTAGCTCGGTTTGTTAAAAAATGCATGATTTTAAAAAGTAAATTTATGTTTTAACATACACATAATTAAATATAATATTGATCCTTTAATTTGTGTAATCATCGCACAATCTGTCATACCGTTTTCCTAATCTTAAATGTAGTTCAAAGGAATCTAGGCGGGAAACGATGTGAACTTTTATTATTCTGTGAATTAGCTCACTAAAACGTTCTTAATAATAAAAACAAATGTTCAACAAACAAACATCCATGTTTAAATGTTAGCTGTAATTTGTTACGTACAATACTAAAGAAAATATACTTTCTTATTAAGGAAAAGTAAAACGTAGTGTAAAAGAAATATTAATACCGGCGGTAAGATGGAAGACTAGAGAACTATCTGATGTCCCACTTTCTGTACTGCTTCAAGGACTAAGTAAATTTACAGAGCAAGATGAATATTTGAACGAGGTTTGTTTTTTTGTTTAGTGTATCAGCGAGTACTTTTTTATTGAACACCTAAATATATTTTTACTAATTATAAAATGAATATTTAATTAAACGAATTCTATGCGTCAGATGAGTTGACATTATGAATGTATTTATTTTATATTTATAATATTAAATCCATTTGTTTGTTTTTATTTGTCATTAAACAGATTTTACCACTTGTTCCACGACTAAAAGAAATTCTTTCACATGAAGATATAGAGGAACATATATTTACTACCAAATGTATTAGAGAGTTGAGTAGATTACCTAAAGCAAGTGAAAAATTCATTAGAGACGAAACATTAAGTGATTTGTTAAATAAAGCATTAAGCAGAGGCCACAAGGATATCTCAGCAAATGTACATTCTATTCGTTGGAGATCTGGGCGTGCTACAGGAATGTTGCCATGCAAAGCAGGTCGGGTATAGATATCTAATTGTATGTAAATTGAATTGTATCATAAATAATATTGAATTATTAGTGTTTTGTAGCAAAGTTCAAATAATTAATTAATAAAAACAAAGTGCACAAGTAAGTACTACAAATTGTTGAATGACTATATTGAATACTGTATGTTCTATTTATAAATTAAAATGTGTAAAAAAAAAAAAACTAATAATAAAGTATGTTTACTTTTACAGACTTTGTAGTTTCTGAGGAGTTTCCCAAAGAATTTCAAATTGAACCGAACCCGTTAGCCCATGGAGGTTTTGGTAGCGTTCATCTCGTCAATGATATAAATGGGCCTAAAGATGTGAAATTTGTTACAAAGAAAATGTTCCAAAAACTAAATGACTCCCCGAGATATATGGTAAATATAATGATTTTAGAGAATCGAATTAAGTGTAGTTTTAATTTCAAAAGAACGTTCCTTAACCATTCGAATATTTAACTTAATGATGAAACGTATTCGAATATTATATGCTAAATAATATATTTATTTTACACTCTTTTATTTTAATAATTAAAAATTACATTTTTTTCTCAGGAAAGTTTTCAAAAAGAAGCGTCGATATTAATTAGACTCAAGCACGAGAGGATTGTACAATTTCACGGATTTCAAAAGACAGAAAATGAACTATTGTTATTTATGGAGTTTGTTAAAATGGTAAATAAATAGATCAATCAATCTATCTATCATTAATTAAGTTTTAATTGGGTCGTCGAGACAACACAGTTCTCATAAATATTTATCTATGTCTCGATCCTCTGCTACTCTGAGTAGTTCTGGAACGGGCAGTCAAGTGTAATTTTTTATGTTTTCCTCCAATCACGTCTTTGCATTCTACTATTTTCTCCTCCTCGAACATGGCGATGCATTTTGGTTTTGTTATAATTACAATATTAGATAATATAATTCACCATGGTTTCGTTATAATTACAATATTAGATATTATAATTTATCATCTTAATTATTTTTTTAAATAAGTCAGCATGGATGCAAAGTATGGTAATTACACGCACCAATAATGTCATCACTCGACTATCAAAAGTATTTTAATGTATATTGAATTGAATGTTAAACATAATAATTGTTATTATCCCCTTTACGGTCCGATATATTGTTGACAAACTCGTGATCAAAGAATAAAATTAAGTTTTCTTTAATTAATAAACTCTGGTTTGTAAACAATAGTTAATAATATAAAAGTAAAATATAGGAAAGCATGAATGAAATTTTAAGTTATACTTGTTGTTTTTTTCTATCGCTTTAAAACAAACACCTTGTACATGAGATACAACTTCCGTCGCAACACATTACCATAAGATAAAAATACAAAATGGTGTCCATTTTTAAAAATAAGTTTTGAAAAATATATAATCGTATAGACATTTTTTAAATTACGCGTATCAAATAGTGCACTTTCATTTCTAAGGGAACACTTTCTGCGTTCATCAAACAACACACAAAACTAAACGAAGATGTGACACGAAAGTTTACAATTCAAATTCTTGAAGGCGTGAAATATTTGCACAAAAATAAAGTTTTACATTTGGACATCAAAGGTAAGACGAAAAAATACAATTGTGTATATTATAATTAATTTTCTAGATGTGACTCAATGTTCATTAAAAGCATATCAACAAAGTTAGGTAGTCAAAATTTATTTCAAATCGCTGCAGTGTTCATTATTTATAATTATGTATCATATAAAAATACTTCTTTTATTTAAAATAAAAACTGCTAATATTACTAGGTAACAATATTTTGATGGCTGACGAAGCAAATATAAAACTAACAGACTTTGGTTTGTCGACAATACTAAACGAGGAAGAAGGAGTTGAAGCAGAAACGGGCACAACACGATATATGGCACCAGAGATGATTAACTGCCCTGATGGTAGAATATTTAAACACGCTTCTAGTCTAGATATTTGGTGAGAAAAATAATACGTTTTAAATAAAATGGCAAATATATTCATTGAATATAATAGAAACAAATGTTTTATGATAATGTAAAAAAAGACTCCTCATTAGACTTTGCGATCTACTGTGCAGATTAAGTAGATTATATATTTTTTAAACAAGGTGATCTGGAGACCACAGTCCAGTTCATACATGAAATTGGCCTTGATGTTTAAATCCTCCATCATATACCAAATTAAGAACGAAGAAGAAGAAGAAATAAGGTGTATGAAGGGGTTATGTGGGAAGCGTAATGCCCAGCCGCCTATACTTTCCCTAACGTGTGCTAGCTACTTATTAGAGCTGGGTGGATTCATGGACGTTCCACTAACTTGAACTCGTATTCGTACTCAAGCTTTTCGATTTAACTCTGCCGATAGGCCACGCCATCACTATTTATGCTTCTGTAGTTGTTTTATTACATTCGCGAGATCAGGAACATAGTGTTCTTTAGTGTATTAAAAATGTGAATATTGTAGACTTGATATTGTGTTGCTTGTTTTTCTCAATATTATCGTATATTTTGTTTTACACATGCTTCAGGAGTGTGGGCTGTACTGTTGTAGAGATGATAACAGGATCACCACCCAATGCTACAACTACATCAGTCCAAGTACTTTTTAAAATGGCGATGCTACAGAAACCAAAATATGAGTTACCAGATACAGCTTCAGAACACTTAAAGGAATTTTTAGAAAAGACTTTTAAAGTACGCGCAGCAAAAAGACCATCGGCAGACACTTTGCTGAGAGAAGACCCATTTGTGACTATCAAAAGACGAAGGTTACATTAGAATAACACCACTTGTAAGCCGTAAATTAGAGTAGTATGTTATTTGTGATGGATTTTTTTCACATGATACATGGCATAATATTGTACGTATTAAAGAATTTAAAATGTAATTGTATATAAAGTATTTTTACATTAGTCTTACAGTCATTTGGCATACTTTTGTATAAAATAATATATAATGTAAATGATAATTCAGTTGATAAATGATAATCGCAGTTTAAGTCTCTGCATAGCATTCATTATTTACTACATATTTGTATTTGCATTTACTAATCCAGCCTAACATTGTAACTAGAGATTTTAATCTTGTTTTTACATGTAGTTATATTTTGCACAACTGTCGGCAACAGTTAAATCACAGTGCCTTTCTTAGAACACTAATTTTGATATAGTTATTTACTTTTGTTCAAAAAGTAGATTATGCAAATAGTTGTTCTGAAATATATTTAAAGTTTATATTTTGAAACAACACTCTCTATTAAATACAAATGTGAATATTGGAATACTGGAATATTTTGATATCTCAAAGAATGCAGTAATATTGATTTAGCAAATGCACCAAAGAAAGGTAGGCCTATCTTTAAATATTGTAAGAAATATGAGTGTAATGTTAAATCGGTAACTATGTTCAATGCCTCACCTTGGTCAACCCTCCTTTGTTAACGTACCATTGGTGAAAGCATCTAAAACCATTAATGTTTTTGATGTGTATATTACACATCTTTAAAATCATATTACAGATAAAATCTCGTATATAAGATTTGCAATATATAATTATGTTGATTTTAAGTTTATAATAGCAACATTAAAATAAACAATGAAACAGCTGTTGAATAGAAATAACCAACGAGGTTATTTATTTATTTATTTGCAAACCCTTCCATTTTAAATTTAGTTTTGTTTTATATATGTTGTAGTTATTAAATCATGTTTAATAAATTATGGATATTGTTGATCCAACATTTTTAATGGTTAAAAATAAAGATAAAAAAATAAATGTACACCTTTCGTTTACTTGATTATATGCAATATTGTATTAGTTTCAATTATATCGAACTAATTTACTGAAAATTATGCATTTGAAGCTGAACATTAGTTTGTATTTATTTGTAAAAATGTTCGTTTATTTTTCAGTAAATAATATTGTTTTACACTCTTTGATGTTTTATTATGAAATGTTTTATACTGTCATTTTGTAATTGCTGGAAGTTATTGATAACATTAATCAGAAAATATACCCTAAAAATGTCCTGTTTGTATACTATAGTACATTGTTTTTACATGTTTGCTGCTATAAAATTTAATTATTTATGATATCAAGGAAAATTGTATGATTAGCAAGATGTTTTACGGGATAGATACTACAATCTTTAAGAAGAATGTGTTAAATACCGTTTAGAGAAATCTGGATTAAAACTAAAACTGTCAAAGAAATTAATGTCAAATATATACAAGGTTTTGAAATTTAATATGTGGTTCTTAGTTAATTGAGGCATAATTATCACCCAAACGGCCGCTTCAATTAAAATGTTTAGCACTTTTCCAATACTGTTAAACTATGAGCTACACACTATTAATTTATAAGAATGCTAGAGTATACATTAGAGCAAATTAAAAAACCGAATATCAGATTTTGTAAACTATTTTTAGTACGTTTTTACTTTCTCGTATATACGAAGTATAGAGAAAGTATTGTAATCGTGCACAAAAATCACTTGAAATTTTCACAATTTTCACCGTATTACACCTCAATCCTTCATCACATCCGAAGTATAGAGGACTTATTTTAATCGGGCAAAAATTATCAATCTAGATTTATCAAAATTAAGAGGTTTTATGCGCAATCTAGTCTGAAAAACTGGGCTTTGCAATTATGTCCGTATGTCTGTGTGTTTGTGTGTGTGTCTGTGTGTAAACACGATAAATTGAGTACCGTTACAGCTAGGTTGATGAAATTTCATATAAGTATTTTATCAAAATCGTAGATCCGTATCAACTTTTGAGCGATTTCCGATATTAAATTTTAAATTTTTTTCAAAAGCCTATAACTTGAGTACTATTTTAGATAGATAAATGAAATTTCACATGTAAGTAAAAGATCTAATTTTCTACATTCTGTTTAATTTTGAGTAATTTCCGATGAACGGAATTAGTAATTTACGCTACTTCCGATTTCTAAAAAAAACTAATGTAAATTTTAAAGTACTAATAATATTGCGCACTATTATGCACTTTTTTATTTGGCGTTCACTTTGTGTGCAATTTTTTTGTCTACGAGATTTTATTCTATTTTTAAAACTTTAAGTATTTAAAATTTCATTAAAAATCATGTCTATAGCCCGAGTTCCCATCCCCTGTTGTTTTATATAAGAATATTCGAGAAAGTTTAGTGGAGATCACTCCTGGTTTATTTAAATTACAAGCAGATCAGTTAGTATAAAATCGAAATCTCCAGCACAATGGACAATGTAATAGTCAATGCTTATCACGTTTATTCATGCTGTACAGTTTGCTATGTTAATGATAAATAAATAGGCCTACACACACGCGCACACACACACACACACAAACACACACACACACACACATATATATATATATATATATATATATATATATATATATATATAATATATTATTTATATTAGTAACGTATGGTTATGTCTGCAGTTACTGCAAATAGTCCTACTTTAAAGTCTTAGGTTAACTTGTATATTAGCTATTTATGCATAACATTTCAAATTTTATTAACAGTCCTTTTGCAGATTTCTATGAATGTTCGGGAAAATAAGAAATTTAATTTAGTAAACAAAAAATGTAAATTGTAAAATGTAAACTGTAATTAGGAGTTTGAAAATCCATTGTTGATAATGATATTTAACATTTTTAACAAAAGGCTAATGTTTTTATAGGATATGAATATTTTCAACGGCCTGTTTATGCGTAATCGTCAGGTTTTTTCTAAATAGATTGTGTGGATGATGGACAGTAAATATTTTTTACATATCTCTACATGTCTACTTCACATTAACTTTCTCCTTTATGTATATTTGTTGGGCATCGCAAAGTGCAGTTATTCTGCTAATATCAGAAAAAAGAACTTCGGTTTATTGTATTTCTTTAAAAAGTGTATTAATTGTAGGTAACTATTCTTTGTTCAACGTTTTACTAATTATGTATTATAACAAATATTACTCTGTTTTCTTATTTACGTTGTATACAATTTAAAAAAAAATACGATTGAAAACTCATATTATTCGCTATAATTTTTGTTTACATCCGCTTTCCTATAACTTTAAGTTAAGTATTCTCGTTTAGAGTTTCGTCAATAGTCCACTAATGAAAGCGAGTAGTGAAAATTTGTTTTTCGAATTTTTAAAGGATTATTTGTTTATTTTATTAGCAGTTTATTATATTTTTAAAACGTTATTTAAATTGCAATTCTTTTCGAACATAGATACGTTGATGAATTATTTGCAAGTATTCATTTTGATTCGGAAAATAAAATAACAAATGTAAGTTATTTTTTTCCTTATTAATATTGAAATACACAAAAATGTTTTTAAATAATATTATATTTGCAATATATTATCTATCTTTTTAAACTTAGGCACGTTAATATAATTTAATTTTGTGACCAAGGTCTATGCCATTCTATTTTGAGCTATGAAAACATTTTTGGCTTAGTAGAAAATGCATATAGTGAATATGGGCTAACTAATTTATTACAAAATATATTTTGAAATAAACGTATGAAAGTGAACACTGGTTGCTAAGGTAAATCATGTTTAAAATGCTTATAATTGTTTTGTTTATTCTTCTTAGAGCTAACTTGCTTTTGCTTGATCATTGGGTTTAGTTAGGTTATCTTTCCCGAATGTATAATATAATGAAACACATTATAGAATACGACTTGAGATGAAAAACAGGCATTTCAAGTAGTCAAAGTATAAACGATTGTCTTATTAGTTACACTTTAAAAATGTAATAACAATAAGTTAAAATAAATGATTTGTGTATTTAATTTTTTTTTTTTGTAATTTCTAAATTAAAACATTATTTTAAAAATTCTTTTCAAGTGTTAACATCTATTTTGCATGAGTTAGTTGAACTGAGAGATTTTTAGGGAGAAAATAAGAGGCTGCAATGAGCTATAAATAGTTGTGTTTAAATTCTTCGCGCGTGCAAAAAACAATAGACATGTATCTATAAATAATTTAAAAACTAAACAATAACGTATGTGTATTTAAAATTTTATGCGTGTTCTTTTGTTAATTTATTCGGAAGGAACGAAAAATTGCAAAAAAATGCATTACATTGCAAACCTCAATCCTAATGTAGTAATGCGACGATCTATGTAAGTCACGGTTTTTATTCACTAATTAAAACGTTGTTGACAGTGTATTATCGAACTAAACTGTACCGCATTTGCTTTTGTTTGAAAAAAATTGTATTCTTATTTTACTTTAAAAAACTCTTTACTCCAGCTTTAACTTAGACAATGTGCCTTTAGTGATGATTGACTGACATACTACTGAGCGGCTTATACTTTTTTTACGAAATGCAAACCCGCGCATCGCTGCAGCATGAAACTCTGAATTGTGCCTATGTGTAGGATAGACAAGTTTGACATTAAACATAAAACAACGGTTCTTAAGACTTAATCGTGAAATAATTTTTAATTTATTTAAATATGTCTGATTGGGCCGCAGGAACATCGGGAAAATATTTATGGGACGCCAGGAAAAAACGCGGTGGGCTGAAATGATCAGTACTGTTATTGGCATAATACATCCAAGTTAAAGAGAAAAACGGTCTTTATTCAATTGACAACTCTGATTTAACATTTTTTTTATAATTGTTTATTGGAATTTTAAAAGTGACTGGTGGCTTTATAGCATTTATTTCTTGGGCCAACCACGCCAACCCCTCCACACACTCAAAATATATAATCTACTACATTTATGGTTTAGTCAAGAATGTATAGATGCTTTTCTGCTT